AGGGAAAGAAAATGGAAAAAAGGGAAATAGTCAATATGAAAATTAACAAAAAATATATTCATCAAAAAGAGCCAAAGTGCCAGTAAGAATTTTTGTCACAATCATTATAACATCAAAGATACATTCTTGCAAACTACCTAAATGTCCTAAATATAGAAAACCCAGCAATAGTCACAACAGTTAACCAACCTAAGGGCTGAAAGTTGCAGGGGCTTATATCCCAACTGGAAAAGGAGAAAAGTCATGCAAACTTGCTGTTTCCCATTTTGTCTGGACAGGAAGACATTTGCTAAATTTATTTCCCCTTTGGGATAAAGTGTGAAGTGTGACACTACCCACTGAGGACACCAAGATCACCTACATTCACTTCCTTTTCCTTGTTTAAATGTAAGTAAATAGTAATTAAAAAAAAAATACAGACTCTTCTCATCTTTGATCAGAAAGAGCAATTAACAAAATGAAACTCCCAGTTACACTGTCTGACAAGAAGAACAGTCACTGGACTCGTCCCTGAAAAGCTGTTTCAGAAGCAGAACCCAAACCCGCCTCTCAGACCTGTTTGAAGATTTTCCTCCAGTTTGCGCTTATGTGTTATGCGCGAGCTCTCCTTTAGGGAGGATGGAGCAGGAAGAAGGGAAGGGACCTGGTTGTAAAACAATGCAGCCCATTGTTCCCGGTCAGAAAACACAAATCCACCTTAACATTAAGGTGCATTTATGCACTAATTTAACCAGAAGCCAGCAGCCAGAATTAGTCACTTCTACCTACCCCACGCCCGACCGTGGACCACACTAGAGCAGTAATCCAAACTGACCAATCTAAACCTTCTGATACTCAAACTCAGGGGGTGAAAGATAGGTTTAACAGTTTAAGGTCCATTTACAAAGCACACTTTCTTTATAAATACTTATAGTCCGTATATTTTCATTCTCTCCTCTGCTCCCTGACACCATCCTACACATCAGCTCCATCACTGCAAATTTAAAAATAATAATAATAACCATAATAAACAAAATAAAAATAAAAATCACTGGCCCCATTCTAGTACAATCTCCTCCGGCTGCAACCAGAGAGGAGTGGGAACCCAGATGAGGCCCCCAAATCACAGACATGAAAGGAAATCGTCATCTCTATTGACATGGCCAAGTGGACTGGCCTGGTGTTCCAGTTCTGAACACAAAGAGTTCAAATCTGCGGGTGGGAAGGAAGAAGCAGGGAACGGGGGTGCCTGCAGCGTTGCTTCCTGTGAGCCAGGCCCTCGGCACGCTTTCTGGGACTTCTCATCCCACACCCCCGGCTCTTAGGTGAGGAATAACTAGCAGTTCACAGTGAGAGCGTCACCTTGGTTTTGTACCAAAACCTCAGGAGGACCCCAAGCAGAGGGTGGACCGCTCAATGGGGACATGGGGAGGGGAGGGAAGACAACATTCAAAGTTACTGTGACTCAAGGAGTGTCAATAAAGTTTAAATGACCTGTTTATCTTCGTCTTATCAAGCTGGCTCTCCTCACTGAGGCGCTGGCGCTAGCTGGGCCCAAGCGTGGGCAGGGTCACACCTCAAAGCCACCACCTCTGGAACAGATTGGAGCAACCTACAAAAACAAGAAAAGGTGACATTAAGAGGGAGTCCAGACCAGACAGGTTCCTGTCTCTGTATCATTTTCTCCACTTATACCACTGGGAGTCACAAACTAAGGACAACAGCATTTCCCATCCCCTGCCTGCACTTATAAGCAAGCTTCCAGCAACTCGGTCAATTCCACCCGAGCAAGAGCAACTGGAATTGAGTGTGGAGTGGACGGAAGGAACCCCCAAAGCACGTGCCCCAACAACATCGAGGGCGTCATCACGTGCAAATGGCCAAGACCAATGGCTCCAAGTGAAGCTTTGAGCATCTGAATGGCATGCTGACAGCAGGTGCTGATGGACCGCCATTTTAAAAGGAAGAGAAGAAAAGACCACACTAAGTGCTATCAGAAACAGAAGGAGAAAAGAAGAGAGTGGAGAGTAAAACATATGGAACTAAACAGCGCCTTAAGTAAAGCAGTGACTATTGTGCCTTTTCCTGAGTGGTGGGGAAAATGTCCACAACAGTTCAAATAGGACAAAAGGTGTATCTTTTCCTTTCTGTAGGGAAGACACAGAAAACTCCTCAAAGTACACATGCCCTTTGAGAGTCTGAGAAAGTCTGCTCTGGGGTGCCAGGGGCCTCAAACCCCCGACCTGGGAGAAAGCTGTGTCTGGCCCTCTGCAAACTCAG